ATTTAGAATACTTTTATGTTCATGTTAATTACTTACTTTTACGTGCATATTACGAGTTTTTTCAGTTCTATTGATCTTTTTTTCTTTCTTCTTTATTACGAGTTTATACATGGTCTGTTGATTTAAAAATGTACTTGTTTATTACGAGTGTTATCAGAGGTATGTACCTGTTTATTACACATGTATTCCGGTACTTAAATGTTTGTTTTCTTTTACTTGTTTGTAGGAAAGAGGTGGTTTACTGCCCAGTACAGTAGTACGGACACTTCCCTAAAAAATCCAGAGATTTCAGGTTTTTCTCTCCTGTGGATGCTCTGGTACCTGGTGGGGTTTGCTCATTCTTTCCTATCAAATATGTCTCGTCCTTATCCCTCCAACCTTTTTGGTGTTAGATACTTTCTTGTAACACCTCTAATCCTCGGCGCATATGTGACCTAATTGTGTTGCGAGTAACGTAAAACTCTTATTAAAACAATAATGAGTGCGCATCTTAACACACCATAGCTAGCGGGTAGTTGGAGTGTGCCACTGGTAGGTGCTACTTCTTTACTTTCCTAAATTTGTTTCGTAGTAATTCGGTTCTAGTAAACATGCCATCTTTCTAATCTTAGTTTACCGAGACAATTCATTTTGGACCTTTGACCGCGACTACAACCAAAGGTTCTCTACTACCAAGATAGTTTCAATTGCCCTTTCTTGCGTCCGGTAGTGTAGAATCTTTGCTACAACCTGGCGAAATGAATTTACCCGTTCAACTGGTTCAAATGGGATCTGGTATTTCGTAAACTGGTCCGAGAGGGACGCACCCAGTGTGGAACTGGCGTGTGCTGTGGTGTAGCGGTTACGCGTTTCGCCTTCCCACGCAGGAGACCCGAGTTCGGTTCCCGTGTGAGGAGAATTATTATGATCGAGTTTCTCTGTTTTTTTGCTGGGGACGATGTATCCCTCTCAGCCGGGGTTGGCCCTGACCGGCAGGGTCGCGAAGCCCGCCTCCTACGTTGTGTCGACGGGGTCGTAGAAGTACTTACATGTACGGTACCAAAAACAATAATAATAATAATAAATAGCATTTGTATAGCGCATATCCCCGCTCAACAGCAGGCTCTATGCGCTTTACACTATATTA